CACATTGGTGGTAAAACACCACCACGAGAAGGCAGTGAGTAGGGCTTCTTCAGCAGAGGCTATTTGAGACGCTTGGTCGTATGGGAGCATTTCGCTAGGTGCAAGGCCAGGGTGACCAGCCGCAACCCTAGATACCCATCCCCGACCACATTAAGGCCTTGAGGGATTGTACCTACTTTTAGGGAGAAGGAAGAACTTGACCGCAAGGCAGCGAGTAAGACGAAATGAGGGCTCATCCGCTTGGATTGATTACTCCATTACGTTTATAATATATATATATATATATATATTTAACACCGGCTTGAGATTAAGTTTGATGCCAACGCCATAACAATATTAACAATAGCAATAATAACGAGCGGGGGGGTTGGGGTACAGAGTATAGGGAAAAAATGTAGCTGTCAGAATAGGAGGTTACGAATAAATGGAATAACAATTTTTTAGGTGTTCCGCCGTACACTGATTTTTTGTTGTTTGTTGTTTTTACGGAGCACGGGATTTCGATAGACAGACCGTACAGCATTCGCGCCACTGACTACTCTTCCGGGCCATTTCTCTCAGCGTCTCTAGCCAACGACAATCCTCATCGCTTGGGCTCCAACCTGGAAGGCGGGCGCACCAACCGAAGCCAATGCCTCAAGCCCACGTCATGGTCTGACCGCCGCGTCGCTTCTTCCAGTCTTGCTCGGCACGTGCGAAGAGAGCACGGAAAGGTAGTCGATGGGCAGGCATACGCAATACGTGACCAAGCCATCGGAGGCGATGTAGAGCGATTACTTCTGTTAGAGAACGACTATCCACACCCAACACACGACNCACGGTGTTCCCACCAGACACGAGCAATGCTCGGAGACATCGGTGGTCAAATACAGAAAGTCGATTGGCATCCTCCGCTCGAAGAGGCCAGGTCTCGCAACCGTAAAGCAGAACACCACGAACTGCGGCGATGTACACCCTTCCCTTAAGGAACAGTCGGATGTCATGGCGGAGCCACAGGTGTCATAGGTTGGCGAAAGCTACTATAGCTTTTTTATTACACACTTTCGTGTGATGAACAGTAGACGGGGTGGAACCCCATAATCACGAGGACCTGCTGTTCAGTGATGGAAACCGGTAACCTAAGCCCCGGGACTTGGAGTGGTAAACCACATAAGGCCCCGATAGGTTGGGTGTGGTATTGAACCGGACGACAGCAGAGCTGCCTACCACCAAAGTCGGGTGACAGTGGCGGGGCTTGAACCTCGGACCATGGGGTCTAAAGCACGCCGCTGACAGCGACAACTTTCGCTATCCATGATGTGATCTCGTCCCCAACACCAACACCAGCTGTAATCAAGCTCCCGAGGTACTCTCAACTACTTCTAGCTGATCACCATAGAGGGTGAGTGCAGGCACACGCTCTCGCCAGCCTTGTACCAGCACTTTGCACTAGGGAGGTGCAAAGCACATGCCATTCCTGGATACCTCGATCGCCAAGCGGTTCAAAGCCTGTTGGACTGCCTGTTCATGTTTACCGGCTCAACTACCCTGTGTAGAGGTCCACAAGCCGTCACACTTCCAGGTGCAACTTTTGATCTAATTTCTGACTAATTAGTAAACGAAGGGTTACAACGCGATGATGACCACAGTGTCGAAAGCCCAGTAAGGAACGAGCGAGGCTATTTAAGAGACTTTTAGGTAACATTCAGAACAATATTGCAGATAAAAATTTATTGAAAACAACTCACATTCATGTACTAACAATTTGAACTTTAAAAAAACATTTGTAGTACCTGTAACTATTACTAACCAGACCTGTTGCGAATAATTAAACCGATAATCCAATCAACCTGAAATTATATCACTTTTAATACACATCCGTGTGATGAACAAGTCAAGTCGAGAATGCACGTTGATTCCATTGTGGACAAACTTTTCTGTAGACGGGTATACCCCATAATCGCAAATACCGTCTGTTTAGTGACGGAAATGGGCCCCGGACTTCCAGTAGTGAACCAAATAAGGCCCCGCCGAGTT